TAGCCTATGTGTAGGGTGTGTGTTCTCCGTTGGATGTCAGGTCCGTTTTGTTGCTTACTTATGTGTGTTTCGTTTGGTCTCTGTTGTCAGTAGCATCGTCTTGGGTACATCTATTTTGCGTTTGCGATGTTAGCTGCGGCTTGTTCCAGTGGTCAGGGGTGGTTATCGTGTCTTGTGATTTTGGGTTCGCGGTGTTATTGTGGGTATAGTCTATCGTGGGTATATTATGGGTAGTTTGTGTATGGGGATATGGTTTCGCGCCTGCAGGGGAGAGGGGGGAGAGTGGGGGGGATGGAGGGAAGTTACGGAGCGGCCGGACGCCCCAGTCCCTGTCTTACACTCCCGCTATGTGTCTCATAACCCAAGGGTCCCAGATTTTGTGGAAGTGTTTTGTCGTGTCATGTAGAATGGCTGAGAGTTTGTCCATTTCCATGGTTTCATTGGTTTTTTGGATCATCTTTGCCAATGTGGGTGTGTTATGGTTACCCCATTGCTCTGCTATGGTGCGTCTAGTAGCGAGGGCTATTTTCGCTACCAGTTTGTTTTGTGCCCTTGGTAGTCTGGGTAGGGGTTTTGAGAGTAGCCACGTCCAAGGGTCCGTGGGTATGTCTTCGTGCAATATTCTGGAAGTGAGGTTGGCAACCTCAGTCCAGAGTTGCGAGCTGTATGGGCAGTGCCACCACATGTGTATGTATGTACCTTGTTGTCCGCATTTTTTCCAACACGTGTCTGTTTGGGCTATGCCCATCTGTTTGAGTTTCAGAGGCGTTAGGTACCATCTGAGCATGGTTTTGTACGCCTGTTCTTTGTGGTTCACGCATATGGTTAGTGAGGCGGTTGCTTCCCATATGCTTGCCCAGGCTGTTGGGTCATCTGGTGGGCCTATGTCTCTTTCCCATGCTAACTCTGCTCTCATGGATATCAAACAATTGCAAACGCAATACAGGTTTAAAAAAAATAATCTTTGTTAAAAATATGTCTGGCACAATTATTGGCAACCCTATGAATTCATATGATGACAATTTATTTGAATGCACTGTGAAGAGGATGGATTCTAGAGGCCAAATCTCCAAGGATCACAGCTGGAGAATTGCAGAAGTTATTTGTGTTTTGTTGTCAAAAAGTCTTCAAAACTACAATCCGACATCACCTATATCACCACAAGTTGTTTGGAAGAGTTTTAAGAAAATAGCCTCTATTCTCATTCAAATACAAGCTTAATCATCTTAAATTTGCTAGAAACTATTGGAACTTCAAATGGGATCAGGCTGTATGGTCAGATGAAACCAAAATAGGTTTGGCGCATACAGAAAGGCAGCCATATGGAAAAGTACATCATGCCCATGATTAAATATGGTGGCGGTTGTTTTCTGCCGATGAACCTGGACATTTTGCTGGATACATGGCATCATGAACTCTGCTAAATATCTACGTATATTAACCCCTAAAGGACTGAGCCAAATGTACACGTTTTGATTAAAATAAAATGTAAACAAAAATTGGAGTTTGACTATATGTCTGTTCAACCATAATTACCTCTTTCATGTTAAGTGCACCCACACTTATTATATATCATTTTATTCAGGAGAAATAGGGATTTAATTTAACATCAAATATTTAACTATGAAACATAATTTAATATGAATAAAAAATAAAAAAAAATTTTGAAAAATTAAGAAATTTTGTTATTTTTTTAGTTCTGCATGACATTTTAACTGGGAATGTCATAATACTGTTTCTTTTTACTGCAATAACATACACATATTTATATTCAGCGATGTCTCACGTGTAAAACAGTACCCCCTACGTACAGGTTTTATGGTGTTTTGGGAAGCTATAGGGTCAAATATAGCATGTTATATTTTTCTTTTTTTTCACATTGAAATTCTCCAGATTGGTTATGTTGCCTCTGAGACCGTATGGTAGCGAGGAATGAGAATTACCCCCATGATGGCATACCATTTGCAATAGTAGACAACCCAAGGAATTAAAAGTGGGGTATTTCCAGTCTTTGTTAGTAGCCACTTAGTCACAAACGCTGGCCAAAGTCAGCATTAATATCTGTTTGTGTGTGAAAAATGCAAAAAAACTAATTTGAATGCCAATTTTGGCCACCGTTTGTGACTAAGTGGCTACTAAAAAAGACTGGATATACCCCATTTGCAAATGGTATGCCATCATGGTGGTAATTCTCATTCCTGGGCTACCATACGGTCTCAAAGGCAACTTAACCAATCTGGCGAATTTCAATGTGAAAAAACTGAAACACAAGCTTTATATTTGACTCTGTACTTTTGAAAACACCATAAAACATGTACATGAGGGGTACTGTTATACTCAGGAGATGTCGCTGAACACATATATTAGTGTTTCAAAAAAATAAAAAGTATCACAAGAATTATATCATCAGTGTAAGTGCCGTTAAGTGCCGTTTGTGTGTGAAAAATGCAAAAAGTGTCACTTTCACTGGTGATATCACCAGGTTTTACAGGTTTATGGTGTCTTGGAAAGTTACAGGGTTATATATAGTGCTAGAAAATTAAATTCTCTGGACTTTCTGCCTGGGTTATCAGGCAGGTCCTGCAAATTGTAATTAATAAAATGACTTAATTATGTAAAAATATTACATAAATATATATGTAGAATTTATATATATATATATATATATATATATATAATGTTTTTATTTTTTTATTTATATATAGTTATATATATAGTGATATATATATATATATATATATTTAATATCATTCTATGTGTATTTTGATATTAATATATATATATATATATATATAATTAGATATATATTAATATTAAATGACACTTATACAGTGTATGTGTATGTATGTGTAAGTGTATATATATACTTAGATCATATATATAATATATATATGATCTAAGTATATATTATTTTATTTTACACAGTTTAAAAAAACTTTATTTAACTTTTTTCAGGCAGCAGGGGGACTACCTGTCATTCCAGGCACTCCCCCTGCTGGCACTGCTATGGACGGCTATTCCGTCCATGTGATCGTGAGGTCCTCGCAAGGACCTCATGATCACATGGCCCAGGAGGGCCGGATCGGCAGCAGGGGGACTCCCTGGGATGTCAGGTAAGTCCCCACATTGCGATCGCCAACGTGGGTTCACCGGCGAGCAGGTAAGTCCCTGGACGGCGTGGACGTGCTATGCCGCCCGTCGGCGTTTAGAGCCGGGTCCTTAAGGACGGCATAGCATGCCCGCCGTTGTTAAAGGGTTAAATGAACACTTGACTGTGTCTGCCAGAAGGATTGCAATTTGCCAGCAGAACAATGATCCAAAACATACTTTAACATCAAAACAAAAATGGTTTACTGACCACTAGTGATGTCCCGAACGGTTCGCCGAACAGTTCGCCGAACGTTTCGCCGAACAGTTCGCCACGGACGGCGAACATAAACATAAACTTTGACCCTGTACCTCACAGTCAGCATACACATTCCAGCCAATCAGCAGCAGACCCTCCCTCCCAGACCCTCCCACCTCCTGGACAGCATCCATTTTACATTAATTGTGAAGCTGCATTCTTAGTGAGCTGTCCAAGAGGTGGGAGGGTCTGGGAGGGAGGGTCTGCTGCTGATTGGCTGGAATGTGTCTGCTGACTGTGAGGTACAGGGTCAAAGTTTATGTTTATGTTCGCCGTCCGTGGCGAACCGTTCGGCGAACCGTTCAGGACATCACTACTGACCACAGAATGGTTTTCACAGTTACTTAACTTATACCCCACAGAAAACCAGTGGGGTCAATTAAAGAGGGGACTCCACCAGTGTTGACCTCAAAATTAGAAGGATCTGAAACGAGTCTGTATGGAGGAATGGTCTCAGGTCCCTTGCCATATATTCTCCAACATCATCAGCCATTATAGGAGAAGAATCAGAGCTCTTATCTTGGCAAAGGGAAGTAGCAGAAAGAGTTGACCAAAAGAGTGCCGATACTTGTGCCACACATAATTTAACAAGGATTTTTTGGGGATTAACCTGTGTTGTGTTTGCAATTGTTTGATATTCATAAGAGCAGAGTACTTATGTGTATTTTCTGAACAAAGGAACAAAAGGATAACCAATAAAGACAATTTTTCACAGCCTCTCACTGCTTATATTTACCAAGGGTGTCAATAATAGCAGAAGGCACTGTACATAATCCCCATAGTCTATATAGTCCTGTTTCAATCTTCTTATTGGTTGGCGATTGTTATCCCTCCTCACTGCTGTTCCTTATGTAACATACAGTTCAGATCACCACAATATCTTTAACAATCTATACAAAAACTCTTTGCTTTATAGTAACCATATGTGCTCACAGGTGGCAACCTCTGCTCGGTCAGCTTCCTAGCTGCTATAAGGGACCGTTGAACGCTTTACCCCAGTTACCAAAGCATGACTGGGGTCACTGAGGGCTTCTACTATCCTGGGCCAAGCTACAGCTATCTCCTTCCAGGCAGATATCGTGCTTTTCTGTTCCTCTCCCAGGCAGGTAGCACACCTCTGCCTACATCTTCTCCATCTACTGCCTGTTCAAAGGCACTTGTGGCTCTCAGGCCTAGCTCCCTTTAACTTGGCCCAGGAATCAGGAATCAAAGCAGCCAGCCAACAGGACAAAAGACTCTGTTACAGGGATCTCTGAATAAACCAACCAGGACACAGTTCTCAAAGGGAATTAATACACAATGCTTTATTTTAACTCAAGACTAGCCCCTATCTGCATTACATTTAACTTATGTTGACACACTCAATCTAATTCATAAAATCAAATTATATAGGGAAAGTCATAATAATACAATAACATATTTATAAAGGGTTGGGGGAGATAAGAAGTATCTCTGTTGCCTGCCTAATTCGTAAATTGCAAATCAATCTGAGTATACAAATTAACAAGCCTTGCTATTCAGGTACAAACACAAAGATAAAGCACCGCGCTTACAGCAGCAGTAGCTTAGTATCCAACAGCTTAAAATACATAATAAAAACAAAGAGAACGTTACCTGCGCTCTAAATAATGGGGATTTAGGCCAGAGCGCAGGTAACGTTCTCTTTGTTTTTGCTATTCATGTAGTTTTGTTAAGATCTTCACAACCAACAGATGGCAGTGTACAGGCTTAACAGCCAAATCCGCGTTGCTGGTCGAAAGCATCATCAGGAGAGGAGAGCACACAATGTATAACATAAAACCATAAACAATTACATTATATACAACCTGCACCTATAATGGGGTGACTAAAACATAAGAATAAACTGGAGCCCTACATAAAGTGTCTGCCTTAAGTTCCTGGTGATGGTAATGGTGACTACTGTTATATTAATCTTCCCATAAAGATGTACATACTACCTTATTAATCACTTAAATGGACACTACACGCACTCAGACCACTGAATCTCATTGAAGTGGTCTGGGTGCGGGGTCACTGTCCACTTAGCTTTGCAATGTAAAACATTAAATATAATGTTTACCTTGCAGGTTTAGGAAAGCCACTACCGATGCTCACTCAATTCACACAGAGTTTAACATCCTCTCTGTATCTTTGTATGAAAACTTCCAGCATCTTGAAAATTCACATAGGAAAGCATTGATTCAAATCTTTCCTATGGGGAAGGCTTAATTCATTCATGGCACTTGCCGCACATGGGATGTAGCTTCTCTCCCATTGCCAACGTTGGAGAAGGTGTAGATGGAGCCAGCACAGAGGCTGGTCTTTTTAACCCTTTCATAACTGGGGGAAAGGGGTAGAGGGACAATTAGTGTTAGGAATAAAATTTTGTGTTAGGAATACAGTTTTGTATGCCTAACTATACTGTTCCTTTAAGGACCATATCACGGTCTATGCCTGGTGACGGCTGTGGATATTGACTCCTAGACTCTGCCCTGTGTCAAAGAAAGTCAGGCAGGGGAGAAGTAGAGAGAAAATGTAGTCCCTACTTTGTCTCTGTATATCTCTTGACTCGGTTGGAATTTCAGTGAAGTTCAAACACAGTCAAAATGAGAATTTCATAAAGATTCCTTCTTTATGAAATACAAATTTTTCAGGAAGAGGTGACCATGACACTTTAATGTTGTGTTGTGCCAGAAATTTATAATTGTAGTGATGTGCAAAGGTATTCTTGGAATCTTAACTTTTTTTTCTTGGACACACAAAGCACTTTATTTTTAATTAAGATAAGTTTAATTAGGATTATGTTCCTTTAAGGAATAAAAGTACACTTTTTTTTTACTGTTGAATCTTTATGAACAGTAATGAGAGAGTTAACTTTTTAATAATATTATTGGCTACCCACTGCACATGTTATGTGCACATTATTGTGATTGGTTCGCTGATAAAAATTTGTATAATGTACTTTTTTATAGCTTGAGAAAGACTGAATAAACCCACATTGCATCTGATGTTACAGAGTGCTGGAGCCTTATTCATTATTTTAGATGAGCTATGTGCAGCCCAGCACTCAACGTAAGCGCTGTACAAAGCCCTTTAAATACTGTGGCTAAGCGATCCTGAGAGTCTTGACTTTAAATGTTATATGTCAATAAATGACAAATGCAAAGGTGAGTATATTCACACAGAGTTTAACTCCGTGAAATGACACGTGTAATGTGTAATCCAGTATAAATGAGTGTTATAAAATAAATGTACACATACAAACAGGCAAAGAAAACAAATCAGGCAGACTTAACCATGTATATCAAACATATATATATATATATATATATATATATAAATACAAGATGAAGTGAGAGAAGTGCGATGGAAGACAGATAAAGTCAAAAGGAAAAGAAAGCGTGAAAGCAAATAAAAAAGCCAAGGACATTAGGCAGAGACAGGCAAACAAAGAGAAACAAAATAGTCTGCTTTTTGTCTTCTATTTTCATCTTTTCTCACCTTTGGCTGTTCCTCTTTCACTCCTCCTTTTATTTAAGCCACTATATTATATACTAATTCACTTCTATTGCTATCCAACATTTTAATGGAGTGGTTCATAGATCTTTAAGATTCATATGCTGATGGATCAGACTCTATTAAAACAATGATGTAATGTAATGAAACCTACATTGCTCAGTCAGGCTGATTGCCATAAAATCCTTCTGTTTCTGTCTAATTTTATTTGCATGTATAAGTGTATTGTGCTTTCTAAAAAGGGGATACTTTTTCCTATGTGTACTAATATTTGCATGGGACATGAACCCAATGTGTGCACATTGCTCTTTTTCTAACTTATAAAATGCCAACAAATATTTCAGAGCTGTATATATATATGTGAAAACATCTAAAAATAGGGTAGCGCTAAATTAGGGTATATCTTACCCTTTAATCACAGTGATATATTAAGTTCAAACAGCATGTGTAAAAGATAAAAACAATATATAGTGCGGATAGTATGGTGTCTTCATATAAAATAGAATGAATTTTGTCCTCAATTTTGTAAATACATTTATGTCACACTTGCACTAATTGTTCACTGAAACACTTATACCGTAGCTCTCCCCAACTGTCTTTGAACACTTTTTGTATAGTGATGGTGAGATGGATATACCAAATGGAAAGAAGTATTAAATAACTCATATAAAGATTAATTTATAACATTTGAAATATATTAGTTAATATTATGTTTATGAATATTTAGTAAAATGCTGTAGCTAAATACATGTAATTATATAAAATACACTACAAATTGTAAAACTTCCCTTTGGTGTAGGTTTGAGCTAAGTAGTATATTCATTATATAATACATTTTCTAAACGTAGTATCAACTCTGATGTTTTCTAGTTCTCAATATGCTATACCTGATGCCTAAAATTGTGCCACATATCCAAGGTTTGTTCTTACCATTAATTTGAAAGAGTCAAAATTAGATTTTGATCACTTGGACCTATAACCCATAATATACAGGACAACACGTTACTAGCTTTTGCAGTGGCAGACCAGCATTGCCTAGTTTGTTATATATAATTATTCCCAAGTTCTTTTCATTTGATGTCATGCATAACTCAACCCCATTTAATGCATTAGTGGCTTGTAGGTTCCTTATTCCAAAATGCATGGCTTTGGATTAATCTGTATTGAATCACATCTGCCACTTGCCTGCCCAGTCCTCCAATGCATCCAAATCATGTTTATATAAATTATATCACGTTAAACTGCATTATCTTAATTAGTTTTGTGTCATCTGCAAACAGCGACATATGACTTTCAATGCCCACTTCAAGATCATTTATAAACAGATTAAAAAGGTGTACACCCAGGACAGAACTCAAAAGCACTCTTTCTTTAAGCCAAGTGTTCTAATCATGAACATGTTTTTTCATCTAAACCAACTGATTTCAGTTTTAATAATCACAGCCACTGGAACACCCGAATATATATTTCTAAAAACACATAGAACACAATTAGGTTAGTTTGGCATGATCTGTCTTACATAAAACCATGTTGTTTCCTTCTAATGGTTTTGTTGCCAAAAGACAGACATCAAGCTGGCAGGTCTGTAGTTTTTGGGTTGATCTTTTGCATAGTAATCCCATAATCCCTTTTAAAAAAGCACGTTATCTGCTTTTCTCCAATTCTCTCGTGTGATTTCTGGAAAAAAAGATTCCTGAAAAAGTAAAAATAGTAGTATGAATATTTTATACTAAGCTCCCCAAGTACTCCTGGGTGAATACCATTTAGCCCTAGCCCCTTTATCTAACTGCTGCAATACTTTAACATGAGTTAACCGATCACCTGTTTGTTGTAAGCCTTTTGTAACAGGGGTTTGCAAATCTACAGCCCAGCCATAGATACAGAAGAAAAAAAATATTTAGAATTTCTGCCTTGTCCTGATCCTTGATTAACACATCAATCTTAGATTCCAATGGACCAACACCCCTACTCTTTACATTTTTGGCATTCAAGTACTTAAAAAAAACTTTAATGAGGTGGGCCTTGTTTTTTTTGGCTGTGAGCATTTAATTTTCTAGCTTAGCCTATGTAATCACCCTTTTCCAAGCCCTTTTAGTGTGCCTATATTTGTTCTAAAGTGTTATTGTCCCATCTGATTATTACAAGAGACTTTTGCGTTTTTTGAAGAACTCTACAGATGGTAATAAATCGGTGGAACTACATTGCAAGATATCATTGTATTTTTTTGTTTGTTTGTTCCTGGTAGCACGCAAAAAAATAAAAACCTGTAAAATTTTATATTTTAATTAAGCTCCATTCTATGGGTTTTTGTACTTAAGTGTCCTTTAGTAATTAATTCCACTAAATAATAGCTTATAAGTATAGGCTCCTTCCTGGCTATTACTGGGTCTTGAAGATCCATGTTAACACTGAGCCTTCACTCTCTGCACATACATTATGTGCACATTGTATGAATGGACAGCATGAAGTCCAAGTATTTCCTCTGGATTCTTGATAAATGGTATTCACCCCTCAACAATTTGCTTTACAGAATATTAGAGAGCTTGTTTTGCCCTGTGAGGTAATGATGAAGACAATGTTTGTGTTCCATTCTTTCCCCTGCCCATTAGTAGGTGGATAATGCAGCAAATGCTGTGATCCAATCACCTAATTTTAATGTGTTAAATGCTGAAATAACTGCACTTATAATTTAAAACATATGTCCATATATTTCACAGACATTAGCATCTGTATAACAGTCCATATGTATAAGGCAATACTAAATGTATATATGAATATTATCTCCTGATGTTACTGAAGTCTTAAAGGGGTAAATTGATACTCCTGCTATCATATATTCCCTATTACATGGCACTATGTCTAGAGGCATCTAGGAATTCAAGTAATGAATTAAAAAGATAGCATGTGAAATACTATTCTGCACTTAATAGAAATGTAATTGGAATGATGTTATTAATTGCACAAGGATTACAATTAACTCCTTCTCCCTTAAGACTCTTAAGTGATTGTGTGTCTTTGTGGTCGGGGAAAACATTTTATAAAATATTGCTTAGTTAATATAGCTTTACATGTAAACATAAAGAATGAGATTTACTATGTGTTATTACTTCACATGATATACGATATTTCTCTGAATGAGCTGAAAAGTGTATTCT